GGGCTTTCAAGAAGGTTTTTTACTAAGAGACTGTTCTATGCCTTCCACACAGACTTTTCTCACAGAGGAACAAGTCAAGTGGAGCAGCTCAAGAACTACAACTCTCCTGTTCAGTTCTTTTATCAGGAAAAAAACCCTAACTCCACATTTGTCTAGCCTCAGCTCCTTAAACTTCAGGCTCATTCTGCTCAGGATACACCAAATATGTATTTACCAGCAGTCGTTGTCCATGTTTCCCATGATGAAAAGGGATGGTTTGTAAAGAAGGACCAGGAGGTCCTTCTTGGGGACCAAGCACCTTGCCCCAGAGCAGTGGCTTTTACTCTTCTCTGCTCAGCATTTCTGCTGTCACCAATGACTGACCTCTCCACTTTCTTGTGTTCTGACCTGATCCCTAACAGACAGGTGCTCCCTGGCTGTTAGTCCAAACATCTCTAAGGCTGAGCTCCTAATAAATGCTGCATGCTGAATTTTGCAATGAAACTCATGTGGGAGAAGGTGATTGGCGTTAAGGATGCTGTTACATATTTTAGCACTCCAACTTGTACAGCTCCATGTAGATTTACATAAGATCCACGTATAGTCACTACTTGAATGAGAACAGATGTCCCCTTCGGAGATGGTGTGAGCGTTTGCCTCCTCTCACTCTTTTGCACTCACAAATGCAAAAACCAATGAAAGAGAAGTTGCAACCCGAAGTAGGAAAAAGTTTAAAGTTACATACTGCACTGCTACAGTTGGCAAACCAGCTTCTCCAGGCTACAGTTTCCAGCAAATCACTAATGTTACAAGCCAAGAAGTGTCCTTCTGGAGCACCTGCCAGGCGCTCAAGGAAAAAAATAAAACATTCTTCCACCCTGCACCATCCTTCCTACCTTATTCCACAGGAGAAGCTTGCAAGGAGCTTCCAGTCTGCTTACTTGTTTCTGTTACAAGATCTGAAAGCAAGCTGCCTGCCACTGTAGAGAAGTTGAACAGTAATTTTAATCTGAGCACAGTGCAGCATTTAGTGCTGGAACTGTGCCTGCATCCTGGCAGGAGGAAGACCCCCTGACCATGGTCCTGCTCCATTCATCACTGCAGTACCAATGAGACACAAATCCAAGACTTGTGACAGACGATGGCCAGCAAGGACACCCAGCAGAGCACTGACAGGAGCTGTTCCTGTCTGTACCCCATCACCAGAGTCCTGCAAGAGGGAAAGAGGGGCTGACAGCAGGCAGTGTGCCCTCCTCTCCTCCTAAATGGTATTCACCCACCTTACCACAAAGCACCTGCAAGAGAGAGGCTGGTGAGACCCCAAAGAAGCAAAGGGTTTCAGAGGAGACAAGGCTTCTATATAGCACAGCAACCTCTGCGGGGCAGAGCACTACAGGAGAAGGCTGTCACCCGCAAAAACATTGTCTGGAGGTGCATTAGAGGCAAAAAAAAAAAAAAAAAAAAAAAAAAAAGGCAATTCAAATACACACACACTTCTTAACAGCCCGCAAAAAATTTACCCACTTCACAACCAGCTTCATTTATTAGTAAGTCTTGGTAACACTAAAATGGGGCAATATTGGTACCATTATGGAGGTGTAAAGGGGAATTATCACAGGAAAAGCTTCAAACCATATCACTGGCCACACTTAGTGCTGCAAAGTTCAACTACAGCAGCTGCTCTTTAACCTTATTGGCACTGGTGTAATCTCAAGCTGTCCCATGCATGCACCAAAACTGAAGTGTAGGTGCCTGCACATGTGGAAACAGCAAAGATATTGCAATGTGTGGCTTCTGTAATTTGCCCTCCCATGGCAGCATTGCGCCATGCCCTCAGCATACAGCTAAATCTTCTTGCATCACCAGCCAGGACTACAGAGCCATGGTGCAACGATGCTTCGTCTCGTTTGTTAGCTTGGCCTTTCACTTAACATCTGCCGAAGTAGGAGAACAGAGAAAATAAGACGCACTTTTTTTCACAAACGGCTACTCTCAAAGCTGAAAGCATTACTAGAGGATCTGACATCAGCACTGCCAATCTAAATATGTCAGCCCCGCTGTGCATCCAGAAATTGCCTTGACAGCAGCAGCGCAGCCAGCGGCCCGTGCTCTGAGCACAGGCGACAATGCCCGCGGTCAGAGCTCTAAAGGCGGGAGTGACAGCCCCGACCGAGCTCCCTCCCTCTGCAATAAACAGGCGAGTCCTGCCTCTCCCACCAAGAAGAAAACGCAGGTGGACAGAAAGCGCTTGTGATGGGAAACCAGGAGTAGCACTCCTGAATGCGATCGCAGGGCAGACACGGAGCAGAGAGCCCCGCTGGAGCAGGGTACAGGTGGACAGGGGACCCCGCCGTCCGCTCGGGCACCACACACCGGACACCGGCCCGGCGATACGTGACCGCCGGGAACACAACTTTCCCAAGCGCGGAGGCCGCGCCCCTTCGCCCCTCTGCCAGAGCTGCTGGCGACAGTGACAGCTCCGGCTCGGAGCAGCGGCTTCAGCGGTGTCAACAGCTCCGCGCTGTGAGATCGCGGCCAGGGCCGGGCTGGAGCAGCGCCCGCCCGGGGCCGGGGCCGCGACCTCCGGGCGGAGCAGAGGAGTGCCCCGCTCCCGCCCGGGATGTTTACGCGGGGAGCGCTGCAGCAGCGCCGCTATCCCAGGCTCACCGCCCTCACCGGGAGCCGCCCCGCCCGCCGCCGCCGCCTCCCGCGGAGGGACTGACGGAGCGGCGAGCGGCGGCACCGGGACGGGCAGCTCCCCGGGCGGGAGGGAGGCGGCGCTACCCGCGCGGTCCCGAATTCGGTGCGCGCGGGTTTAATTTTTGCGGCCACCGGCCGGAAAGCTCCGGGGGGAGCAGGATCCACCGGCACCTCCGCAGCCACCACTTCCTCGGGCAGCGCCGGGCGGCGGCCGGGCCGCCCCCGCGCCCGGCAGGGCACGGCCCTTCCCCACCGCCTCCCTCCCTTCCTCCCTCCCCTCCCGTCAATCCCCACCCTCCGTGGGCGGGGGGGGCTCCGCGGCCGCCCGGCCGGTACCTTGCAGGCGGAGTAGACGCCCAGCTTCTCCAGCTTCTTGGCCCGCGGCGCGGCGCGCAGCTGCGCCTTCTTGCCCGCGGTGCGCGCCGAACCAGCCCCCCCGGGGTTCTCGGCGGCGCTGCGGACC